TGTGTGTGTGTGTGTGTGTGTGTGTGTGTGTGTGTGTGTGTGTGTGTGTGTGTGTGTGTGTGTGTTAGGAAGAAGGACTCCCAGCTCCTGCCACACCATGTTCAAGTTCAGTATCTGCAAAGCTGACTAAATTATAGCCAATTGGGTGTTTGCTGATGTCTATTAGGTGTAGCAGCCATCTTTTGGTTGACTCCAAAAGCTAAAGAGTTATAGATGCACATTTAGTGATTACTTTCTGAGATGTTTGTTGTTTGGCGGTTAATGAGATATTTTGCTAACAGACAGATAGGGTGGACTCCAACAGATATAGCCAGTATTTTCAAAAATAATATTTTATAATGTTAATGCTTGGAATATGTGTTAAGGGTGATTCTCAGCTACTAATACGCTAAATTTTATCTCAATATCTGTAAAACTGATGAAATTATATCCATCTTTGTGTTTGCTAAAGTTGACTAGTTGCAGTGGCCATCTTGAACGGGGTTGACTTCAAAAGTTAATCAGCTGTAGATGTACATCTAATAAGTATTTTTTAAGATTTTTATTAAAATCCATCTGCTGGTTCACAAGATAGTTTGCCAACAGACAACCACACACACAGAGACCGGCAATTACCTTTCATGGTGGTGGCCAATAATCATACAAGTAACTAGGATGGATAGCATGAGTGAGACAAAGACTTTTACATCCCATGAAATCTGTAAACAGTTAGGAACAAGTGGTCTTTCATGCTCTTTAGTCTGCCCAGAGTCAGTTTAACAAAACTGCTAAAGTAATAGAGCACAAAGATGTGTGTTCCTCCTCTGATGTGACAATATTGTTTTTGTTCAGAAAACAAAATGACAAAGGTCATAAGTGTTATGTTTTCTATCATGATAAAATGCAGAAATAAGAATCAGAATTTCTATTATTTCTAAAGTTAAGCTGATTTTCAAAACACTTTGCTGTCACAGCGGACATGAACGCACCATAATACACTTTGACGAGCTATAAACTCTTAATATAGTCTTGCTCACATTCTCCAGCTGCCATAAAAAGTTATTCTCTTGCTGGAGGTGGTGACGAACGAGACGGCCTACCTTGGCTCGCAGCAGAGCAGACTATGGGTTTGGGTCCTCCTGGATTCAGACTTCCATCAGACGGTCTGCCGATGTACTGACCAGCTCCAGCTGATTCTGCCGATGAGCTGCAACAATCACAGAAGAACGATTTTAGCTTCCTCTCCCCTGCCTGGAGAGCTCATATTTTTCTGACAGAGCTCATACTGGGGAGTGGTGGCACACAGGTTAGAGAAGATGGGCCTGTGATCGAAAAGTCGCTGGTTCAACTCCCCAGACTGACAACATCAACATGTGGGTGGAAAAGGTGAAACACCAACACCTGCCTCCACCGTCATTTACTCCACTCTGGGCCCTTAACCCCCTTCATCTGCTCCCGAACAGGTCTCTCTTGAAATTAAGTTCTCATGACTCAATGAGACTACCTGTATAAATAAAGGGTAAATAAAATATTATTTTGTGGATAATTTAATTATCCTGTCATCAACTCATTAAATAATTAAGCCACGCAAGGAAACTATAAGATCTTTTAGCCCAGGTTTAATTTTGCAAGATGAGAAGCATTGAAATACAAGCATCAAGATGTTACATGGCGCTATGTCTCCAAGGTCTGCTCAAAGGCAGTATAAGGTCGTTTTCACACCTGATAGTCCGGTAGACTCGATTCAATTGGGTACCAAAATTCGGAGCATTTGTTTACATCTTCAGCTGGTGCGGTTCACATTCACACTGCACTGAGTCAATCGAGCCAACCTGTCCCCCCCCCCCCCCCCCCCCATCGCCTGTGGTGACGCTGCACCAAGAACTAATGAAGGAAACAACAGGAAAACCTGTGAAGAAGACACTGAGCGCAACGCTACTACTGGAAATAAACACAAACATGGAGTGGCATAAAATTTTTAACAGTTATAGGATTTCTGTTTTGTCGTTTTTCAACAACGGACTCAGCATGAGCAGAAGATGAGGCATGGACAATGTTGTTTTTCACACAAGGCGGCTGAGACGGCTCCCTATGAGGTATGAGAAACGTGTGTTTGTTTTGGTTGTATTTACCCAGAATGCCCTGCACTGTAGTCCACTTCCTGCTTTCGGAGCGGTCTCCGGTCCGCTTGCATTCACAATGCCTTTGAACCGCGCCAGAGTTCACTTCAATCGAACCGAGACCCAGGTTTTAGGCGGACCAAAGTTCGCTTTTTTGGTCCGCATCAGAGTTCGATTGCGCATTCACACCTCCCCAAACGAACCAGGCTTTCGAGGCAAACGGACTACAGTTTGATTAAAGCGGACTAAACAGGGCTGGTGTGAATGCATCCTAAAGAAGTGTCTTTATATCAGACAGAGGCGAGGTCAAGACAACTCTGCTTTCCAGCTTAGGGCCTTGAAGTTTATCAGGTGAATGGCTCTGTGCTTCTGCAGGCTCCACTTTGCAAAGACAAAACAACTCTAACGCACACACATGGATATAAATTAGTAAGTGAAAAACATCCATGACCTTTACATCCCCAATCATTTATAGAAATAGCTGTTTGTGGAGCAAAGAAAAGGACAAGCTAAGATCCCAATACTTAAGACAGATTTGCTCTGGTATGACCAACATTCGTGTGCTGATTGATTCAAAGTAGAAAAAACAAGCTATTACAGTGGCAAAAATAAATACTTTAACCAATGCTGCTTGTAAAATGTGAAATGAATCATGTAAATCCATTTATTTTTTGAAACAAGTTGCATTTCAGAAGTAAAATGGTGTAGAATTGCATTTTACAATTACAAAATATGGGGGAATAACTTACCTTTCATTTGTGTACAAGGTTTGATTCTGCAGATGTAGTTTCCCTTTCACATGCTGGTCCCAATCCTGAAACATGGAAACAGAGTCGGTGTCTAAACATCAGCTTGGACACACCGGATGCTCACTGCTTGGGCTTCGTTGTCAACGCTTGAGCAGCCATTATGTTTTATTCTGATTAGTTAGTGGGTGCTTCTGCTATAAGAATATTCAGATTCTGCAGACATACTTAATAAACCTGGAAGAAAAATAGTCAGATATTTTTTTAATTAGGTGTCACACATATTCCTACTTAATTTAAATTATATACTCTTTTGTTCTATTGTTTATGCTGAGACAATATAGTTTTCCTCTTTATCGTTTTTTCCATGTATTTTGCTATCAAATTACTTCTAAATACTTTGTTATCCTTTTTGTATAATTTAACTTTTTTTTAAAACAAAACTCTCTTTTTAAATGAATTAAGGTCTTTTCATTTCCTTCAAAAACATTGTTCTCTAATATCTACTTCAACATACCTGCTCTATTTTTGTCTTCTTATGTTTTTAGTTACTGTTCTGCTGATTATAGCTTATAGCTTATTAGCTAGCTTATATGTTGAACTGATTTTAGCTTTAAGTTGTTTCTCTACTTTTAGTTTTCAGGCTCATTTTAGATTTCAGCAATGGTTATGCTGATTATAGCTTTTAGCTTCTGCTTTGCTCATTTTAGTGCTGTTCTGCTTATTTTATCTACATCAGTACAGTTATTAATTATTAAACTTTATTTAAATCCCATTAAGATCATTGATCTCTTTGGTAAGGGGAGGCCTGGCCCTGAAGGCAGCTTAACATGTATGTTTTTGAACTGTAGGAGGAAACTGGAGTACCCAGAGAAAACCCACACAAACACGAGGAGAACCTGCAAACTCCACACAGACAGACCCCAGGGTCCAAACCGGGATTGAACCCAGGACCTTCTTGCTGTGAGGCAACAGTTCTAACCACTAGGCCATCATGCAGCAGTTTCAGCTTTTCCAATAAATTTTAGCAGAGTCATTCAAAACTCAGCATGTCATTATTGCAAACAAGGCAAATGTCTCTAGTTCTGATTTGACGTTTAAACCATTAAACTTAAAGGTGCGTTATTGTTTTATATATTAAAATTGTTTTTATGTAATAATAGAGTACCCAAATGCATTTTCAGATCATAAGACTTCCACAATGTAAATCATCTGTTACGAAGCTGTTAGCAGTTATCCCACAATGATCCATGGTTGGACAGTTGCATCATACATCAGTGATAATCCATCTGTATGTCACATTTGTAACATTCATATGTATGCAGATGACAATAGTATTTATGTAGAGTAAGAATTTAAGTAGATTGTTTTAAATCTTTTGATTTACCGGTAGTAATTCTGTGTTTTGTTTTAAGGATGACTTTATAACACCTGCCCAGAAACTATACAGCCTTTTGGCTAATTCTGTTACAGTTACAGTTTTTAATTCACATTCAGTAGATAGTATGTATTTACAGTATTTTTGTTTCTCATCGATTCACTTACCTTCAGGTTATAGACCTTTTTGTCACAGATGCTACACTGGTGTGGAAGCTGATCAGGTGTAACGCCATAATAATCGTTGATCTGATAGGGCTGAAGTGTCCTGGTACCAGAAGATAATGTCTCCTCATTTCCATGAAGAGACTGATAGCTCTCAAAGCCCTGTGTGCCACTTGAACCAAAAGAGGGATTCCCAAGACTGCAATTTGACTTGGGCTCTGAGGTTGGCTCCTCTGGGTTATACACTTCTGTTCTGGACCACATGGGTTGAACAGCTTTAGTCCATGTTGTGGGAGGATTGGTTACCATATCCACATTTCCAGTTTGTGTTAGATTAGTGTGGCCTTGCCATTGTTCCTTATGCCCAGTGGTGGTACGAACACTCATTTGTTCATTAGAAGTAAATCCAGATGGCTGTCCCGACACATCTGGCCCATAGACATCTCTCTGAAAACCAGTGTTGCTCATGTTAGTAGTGTACTGTCCATCAACAGATGTCCCTCCAGCTAAGTTGTATTGAAGTCTTCTGTCGGTGTCAGAAGGGTAAGTTGACCCAGACTTTCCACCCTGTTGGACCTTTGTTCCCACTCCACTGGGAGGATTCAGCCCAACATTGCCTGGATTTTGGTTGAATCCCCCACCCACCAAGGACCCCATGGCAGAATTTGAAGTGGGGAAACCCATTACTCCAGTGGGGAAGGAACTCTGTGGATTCCCAACCATAGCTGAAGTCCGTAGCTGATTTAACAGAGGCTGGGACATGTTCACATTGGACAGAAACTGATTGAGGACACTGGCAGCAGTGGTGGCGCTGCCTCCCTGAGCCAGTTTGAGGCGTTGGAGCGTAATTTGGGCTTGGAGCTGAGCGAGCTGGAGACTCGCTGGAGTCAAGAGGAGCTGGTTCTGCTGCTGAAGTCCCGAATGAACGCTGGCTGGTAGATGAATCCCCAAATGAAGACCCTTCTTCTCTGTACTGTCCAAAGGTGGTGCAACAATGCTGCAGAGAAAAAAAAAACACAAATTACGAACCGCTCAAGAAAAAAAAACAATTTTCTTTGAGGATTTTCACAAAGAAGCTCTCAAGTTAATTGTTAATGCTAATGCTACCAGCCTTTTAAAATCCTTTTTTTCTTTGATACAGTTCAAGATGGCTGCCACAGTTGAAACTTTAACAAACACTCCTATGGCTACACTTCAACCAAACTTACAGATATTGATATGGTAGCATAAGCATCATCCCCAATACATAGTTTGAACACTAAAATGTTTCCCAAGTTCTCACAACTTTTGTGCATGGTTGCACAAAATGTTTACAAGATTTTAACAAAAATGGCTATTACTAAAACATCCCTTCAAGGAAAACAAGGCCTTTAATTAAATCACTTGTTTTTAAAAGTTGTATAGCGGGAATACGTAACACAAGGCAAGTGAGAACGTAACAATCAAGCTAATCAACCAACCCTGTGTGAAATGTAAATAATAGCTAATATGCATATTAAAAAGTGTATTTGTTGCTAGCCACATGAAAAGGTGAATACATAATGGACCTATTTGTTTTACGCTATCCACCACTTTAACTTGCAGTGTGATTGTGAAACATCACACCGCATTTTAGGCTACATGGTACAACTCAGTTTCAACCTTAGAATACTTAAATATGGGTTTTAATGATGTTTACCTTATGTCCAAGGGTTGTAAAAGAACAAACTACACTGGTGCTATAACCCCTTGTGACTGCTCTGCCTCTTCAGTTTCTGATGAATGCTCTCACATGCTGTCTAAACTTAGTCTTCTCAGCCACGCATCCCAGCAGATATGTTAAGCACCGGACACTGCCCTGTCTAGCCACCGCGCCAGTTTTATGCGTGCAGTTTGTTTGAGACAAATGGTAAATGAACTGCATATAGCGCCTTTCTATTTGATCGAGATACTTAAAGCTTGGTGAGACTTAAAGACGTGCACCTGCAAACATAGATGAAAAAAAAAAAAATATATATGACGTGTTGGATTTTAGATTGTTTTGATCTTGTATTGCAATAACTTTCATAACTTTCGTAGTTTGTGAAATAATTACAGTCGTTTGGTTTGGATTTTAGCCAATACAATTTTTAATAGGCATTTTTACACAACGATTGGTGCAATTAAATGCTACAAAGTTTTCAGCACAGAGTCCATCTTCTAGTTTCTTTAGGTGGGATAAAGTCTTGTGAACACAGTGGCACGTCATAAACTCGTCTTATCCTGGCTGTCACTTTTACGCCTACCGAACTATAAATTTTCTTACAGGAGACGTGCAATCTCATCAAATCTCATCTTTGAGGAGGAAAAACAAAAATCAAAAGCTACAAAATTCTGAATTTTTACAACTATATCTCAATTTATGTCTGAATGTTATATTTTCTGTTTTAAGTACCTTAAAAGACTGACGCTAATGTTTATGTCATATATGCAACTGAAGCACTTTAGGCATTTTAGTAAAGCCATTTTTTCTTTAAAAAATTGATACACAGCTTTAGCTGCGTTATAATGATACGCATAGTTTTACGTTTGACTGTTTATCTCTGAAAAACAAAAATGCATGCTTTTTGTCAACATTGTACATGATTTAACAGAATTTGGTTATCTTGTATCCACCGAACTCCAGGTTTTTCCAATGATTTGCTCAGTCTTAAGTGAACAAGCATGCTGATGGAGGGATACACTTACACCATTCCGGCTAATGACTCAAAGCTATAAATACAGGAGTCGCTCACGGCCACCACTGTCCCTAATAGACTAATATGGTCTCTCGAGCAGCTGGCACAGTGAGCCAGACACTTCAGACTAATCTTGTGATGACGATAGGGAATACAGGTGTCAAATAAACATCATCCGGGTGTGGAAGGGACCGGTTTAAAAGCGTAACGTTGGATTTGTTTTGTAGATGTTAACGACACGAGAGAACATTTTATCATAATGTAACATAATTTGCATGTTGTAGCTGTGAAAACAGTTTAATTTGATGTGCTGGCTCAGATTTTAAAACTTTCAAAAGCAGCAGTTTTGAAAATGTTGTTTGTGTCCATGCTTTGTTGCATTGTATGTTAAATTACCCAAATGAGCAGGAGTAAAAGAGTTTATTATTCAAACAAAATCAAAGTCTCTGTGGGAGTTCTGCTCTGTCAGCTCCTGCACCCACGCCCAGACTCTAATCAGCTACCTGTGGTTCCTCATTGACTTGATGAGCGTGAGGAGCGTAAAAGGCTGCAGAAGACAGTCAGCCAGCGCTGGAGCATTACCTGCCGACGGTAGTCTTGTTCTAGTCTTTTACTCATGTCTAAAACCAATTATTAATGATTCATATTTCTCTCTGTGCCTTCAGATGTCCTCCTGTTTTCTGCATCCTCATGTGAGGACCTCGAGCTCCTCTGTGCCTCATCAGCTGCCCCCACTTGCCTTACGTCGGCCATCGTCCAGATGGACACCTCCTTTGCCTTTAACCATTTGGGTCAGCCCTCCACACGTCTGATCCGACCTCCATCGTAAGGAAGTTCAGCAATAACCTTGACTATAGGACCTCTAATCACCTCTTTGCTCCTCAGGGTTCCAGGCTCCTCCCTGGTTTATTGCATTATTGGTCACTGGTAAATAAACACTATAAATTCACTCCGAGTCTTGGTCTCTGTTCTCATTGGTCCTTATATCTGGGTATAGCCACAATCGTTACAGTCTCCTCCTGCAGGAGCATTGTTTCTTTCTGCCTTTGGGTAGAAAAGTTCAACAAATCAGTGCTGAGAGTGCAGACAGCGTTTTAAAAGCACCAACACTAACATAAAAATTCCAAGAAACCCATAAAGGTTGTTTAAGCAAACTATAGAAACTGTGTGAATTCTGAATGACTGCTGAAATTTGATGGAGATGCTAAAACATAGCTCAAAGCTGAAAGTAGCTAAAAGCTATAAGTCGCAAAACATTAGCTTAAAGTAGAGAAAAATGTGCTAAACATTAGTAGATGCAAAAGTATCATAACAGTAGAAGCAGTAAATGGCCAGCTAAAACTTAAAATTAGTAAAAGGCCAACTTAGTGCTAAAAGTAGAAAAGGCAAGCTAAAAGGTAAAACTAGCAAAAAAATTAGCTAAAAGTGGTAAAAGGCCTGTGAAATGTATCAGAATGTTAGGATTAAGGTAAAATTACATTTGTAAAATCAGCATTAGCAGTAACTGTAGTTGAAATAGCTTTAATATAATCAGAACTAGCATAGCAGTAGAAGTTTTAGCATTTGTATGAATAAGGGTAGCAGAGTTAGCCGTTAGCAGAGTTAGCCGTTAGCAGTTAGCCGTTAGCGGAGTTAGACTTTCATGTAAGGAGTGACACAAGGGTGGCCAAGGTTTTCTCAAGGGGGCACATACAAATTAATTTCTCTCTCTCTCATTCTGTCTCATCCCCCCCCCCCCACCCCCCACCCCATCCCACACACAATTATGAGTGACACACACTGGGTGTATTAGTTAACAAAAATGTACATTATAAAATATTTGTGTCTTTACAAAAATAATTTACAAACCAACAACAATGTGTCTTCATTTACTCTAATACTGTATAATACTTGTGTGCTTCAACGCCACATGCAGCAACTTGTCAATTTATTGGGGTGGCACTTGAGTTGGCCAACCAGGATTTAGGGGTGGCAAGTCTCCCCCCGGCCACCCCTCTGTCTCTGTCCCTGGAATTAGCATAATCAGAATATATGGATTTAGCATTAACAGAAGTAGTACTAGCAGGAAAAAATAAACATAGGCAGTAGCATGATTAGAAGTATGTTGAAATAGATAAAACTAAAAACAAGGTTATTTAAAGAATTTGATACTGTTTTACAATAGGATTATTATTATTATTATTTTTTTGTAAATAAAACTTTAGACTTTTAAAAGTTACAACAACCAAGCCATGGCGCCTGTCTTCCAAATGAGCTTAACATTTTTGAATATCAAATGATTTAAAAAACAAAAAACAAACAATGATTGCAGAAGTAGTTAGATGCCACAAATGTAAATTGAAAAAGGGAAAGTTGGCAAATTTATAAATTAAGATTCCTTGGAAATTTTTATACATTTTTCAAATGACAGACAGATTTCAGGGAGTAGTTCTGATTTGAAAAAGATAGCAGATAGCTCCTTTTAGTGGCTTTTTTCTTGTTTAAACTTTAGTAATATTTTGTGAACTAACTCATTAATGTTTAGTTAAAAGGGGAAAAAAATCACATTCAGCTTTCTTCTAATGGTCCAGTGCAGCTGCACTCAAGTTAAAGCACTGTAGTAAAACTTTTGTCACTTTATTTTTACACTAGCAGAAACCTTGATGACGCCCGTTACACCCATGAATCATTCAGAAATGTAGTTTATTCCAACTGTATGAAACAACAACAAAAAAATACATTTTAGCTTAAATGAAATGGGGATCATATTACAAATCTTCTGGCAGCTGCTCTATTTTATTTGTCTATTCATTTATTGGCACAAATGATTCAGTTCAATCATTTATAGCACCTTTTCACAAACAAGCAGCTTTAGTTTAAATCCTGTTTAAGCTATTCAGTCCATGCCATTCCAAATAAAGCTCAATCCAGGGCAGTCAGATTTACAATCAAATCGAAATATACCCAACTCAGTTTGATACAGTATAAATGAAATACAATTAAAAAATAACCCAATTAATTTGATTCTGCACTGTCAGTATGTGAAAGTTTTTATTTATTTATTTATTTTTATTAATTAGCCAGCACTTGCATTGAACAGAAGAGGTCTTATTGATTTATTGGCTCATCAGTCAGGATCATTTTAGTGGAGTCTTTGTTTCATTATTATTATTATTATTATTTTTCATTATGCATTAAATTTAGCTTTAAGACTTTATTGAACATGCCTTGCTTTTAACTTTCAAATGGCAGTGCTAATAAATTGGGACTCACTTGACATATAGTACGTAGTCTGATGGATGCACATATTGGAATTTTGTCT